GAAGAAGAGCAGGTCGGACACCCGGACTCCTGGATTCTGAACTATGAACATATTCAGCAAAGACCTGCAAAAATCTAACAGTGGACTGGCCTGCATTCATCTTCTGCTGTGCGTGCGAGATCATGGGGTTCTTCTGCCACCTCCGAAAGTTCGACAACGGGAAACCCGACACCGATTCTGCAAACAATCATGCAAACCAGCTCCTTGGCAGCAAGACCAGGAAGTTCAAAAGCTGCTTCAGGTCTCCCAGGTTCACGGCATGATCTTCACACTGAATTCTGCCTGCAGGCAGGATTCAATCTTGCTTGCTGGCGAAGCTAAACCACAAGACATGTTCCACTACTGCATGCAGGCCACAGGCTGGTATGTTGGGGAGGAGGTGTAGAGTCATCTGTCCGGGGCAGGCGGCGGCGAGAATTGTCTCGAAAAGAAGCAGAGCACCGTTCTGCAAGTCTGGCTTGCAGCCTCGTAGCTGCAAAGCAGAAGCGACCTGAAACTGGCCGGGTAGTCCATTTATCTCATTGGCACAGCTGTAACTGTTGTTTAGAAACTCCACTGCACCGACAAGCTGCGGTGTACAACAGCCCAGGCAGCGAGAAGCCATCGAAGGCGAACTTCAAACTTTGTTCGGCGGCGTCGGCTTTCTTGCCCTTGTAGTCTACCTTCCTCACGATGTGCTTGGAGACCTCAATCTTCCAAGCCGCCGCAATCTCTGCAGTCACATTGTCCTGCCTCGGCTGCAAAACGGGGAAGCAGCAGTACAGACTCTGCGAAGCATCAGAATGCAGAGCAAATGAAGAAATCCGGGGAACAACTTCGTGAACCAGTTGTAAAACGGTTGCTTCCTCTTGGTCAGGCCCCAGAGCTGCTGCACTCGAAAGAAGTGCTGGTAGCCGTCAGAAGCATCTGCTTCCTCCACCTTCAACAAAAAAGTGCCAAACTCGTTTGGGCGGGGAGACTTGCCTGCCAAAGAAAGATCATCTCGCATCTGGGGTCGCGGCTCGGTGGATCTGCAGCACTCCCTTGACCCCTCTTCGGCTGCTGAGGTAGACCGTCTCGTTGGCCGTGAACTGCACCTGCTCCGAAACGGAGCTTGCGGGCTCCTGGCCCCCCGGCGAGACTTCTTGGAAGACCGCCAGGGAGTCGCCGGGCTCTGCCTCCTCGCCAGGCAGCTCCGGCCTCAGCGGCAAACCTGCAGCAGCTGCAGCGGCTCGGTGCTTCGCCAGCAGAGCCTGTGCCAGCACCGAAGCTCACAGGAACCGTCTGCCATCAGATCCCAAACCCGGCCTGCCAGTCCGGCCATGGCATTGTGACTGCCTCCGAGGCACCGACATTTTCTCCTGCACGTAGCTTCGTGTCCAGGAGGAGGATCTTGGACTGGAACTTCACACGAAGCTCTTTCTTCTTCTCCAAGTCCTCTGTCCTGCTGTGCAATTGGGCAAGAGGAGGCGAAAGCGAATCCTAACTACCCGAGAGAGAACGTTGTTCTGAAGCAGAACGGCGTCCTCTCAGCCTCGGCGATTCTCTGGAGCAGCCAGGCTTCCATCGCCGTGAGCCTGGCACAGCATTTGACAGTTCCACTACACGGCCTCGTTCTGCAAAAAAGCTCTTCGTTCTGCTTCAGCGGTTTTGCGTTGGCACGTGGCCGCAAGAAAATTGCTGAAGCAGAACGTTGTTTTCAAATGGAACGATGTCGATCTGGAACGGTTTAATGCATCGTTTTCCTCGGAGCATCCACCGTTTTCGGTTTTTAGGCAGTTTAGCCGTTCCGGGTTCTGCTTCAGCGTGTGTGCGGTGGCCACGTGGCGGCACCTGACCAAAATTTTTGAAACTGGAAGTTGAGCGGGAACGGTGAAAAGCAGTGCTGAGGTGGAACGGTCTGTGTCTGAGGTGGAACGGTGTTTTCCAGGGAAACGGCCCCCTGTACTAAGTTGTA